TATGTATTGTCTAAAATAACAATACACTGTTTTGTATTAAGACTTTTATTTGACCATTAATGTTAATGATAACATGAAAACTACAATTAGACGACGCGGCGTGACTGTGGCGTGACTACTCCGACTCATTTTTAACATTGTAAGTCCCATTGCTGCCAACATATCTCACTGAACCCACAGCCCACTGAGCTAACATAACACAGTGCATTTCAGTGTTTTGGATAACAAATTTCGAGCATGGCAAAGGCAAATAACATCATCAATGTAGGTAGAACGCAGGTCTTTGAGCCACTCTTCTCAGTAGACCCTTCCGGAGATAGTAAAGGAAGAGGTGCATGAGCCAACCGGATATTCTCTTATCAGCAAGTGGGTGACTAGCCTCCCAGCACGGTTGATAAAACGGAACTCAAAATCAGACACAGTCAAAATGCTGCAAGAGGGCCCTGAAGACTTTAAAAATATGTAAAAATAAAGTCTTTTTTTTAAATATATCTCAAATCTACGAACACTATTAAGTTAGTAATGCAGTGGTCTAAAATTTTCTCCATTTAATCATCCCATTTTTCTATCTCATAGTTTCTAAGATCACAATTTGTGCATCATCGTAAAGGTGCACGTGGTATATTTAAAAAAACCGTTATTAAAGTATTCAGAGTAAAAGAACAATTGTATATAAAACATCTTTTATTATATGCAAGAACAAAAATATATTGCACATTCATATATTTATAAATACAAAACAGTAAGAACACAAATTCTTTATAACTAAAGTATATAATAAAACAATAATTTAAAAAACAAAATCATATGAACAGTATGCACGACCAGCATGCACATTCCAATGTAAAATATACATTTATAATATATTAAGGGAGGAGGTATAGATACACATCTTTATGCAGGGATGTACGAAACGATATGCTCCATTTATTTGTAGATACATTCACAGTTTTTTGAGTAAAAAATGTCTTAAGTCACTGATGTCCACACTGTGACCTGAAAAATAAATAATTTCGTTAGTTAACCTAGCATATCCGGTGTCCGTATTTCAAAACATGAATAACTCGGTTAATGTATAACAATTTTTCGTTAAATTGAAGTAAGTTGTGAAATTTAGCGGATGTTCATAATAAAAATTCTAATTATAAATTTAAATATAAAGTTCTTCTCTAAATTAAAATATGTTTAATGGAATATGTGCTATAAATGAGATCCCCAAGTTTGAGAGTTTAATATGTTTTTGTTAAAAATATATATTTTTAGTACATCTTTAGTGGCATGTAATCTTTAGAAATATTAGGAACAAGAAGTTATTGCCAGTGTTACCTGTCAATGAGAAGCTGTACTGAAATGAACCCTTATACCCAGGGAGACTAGACAAGGAGCACGAACTCATACGGGAAAATTGACAAAATTTGTCTAAGAAATGGCAGAAGTTGGGGGGCGCTAGTGTTCCATGTGTCCCGAAGTGAATGTGGCAAAATAAATACGAGTGAAGTAAGCAAATAACCAATTTTATTTTATACTGAGTTGAGTAGATATATCGGAAAGGTATAGATACCTACTACTAACCTAAAAAGTAGAAGTCAAGTCAATAATTATTGCAATTTGTTTTTATAGTAGTAAATAAAAACTGCCGCTATTTTCATCTCCCCTCTCTAAACGGTACATATGGTGACGATACTCGGACCGACAGAACCGACACATTACGGACCCGTAGGACGCCCCGACGTCATCGACATTGACCTCTTAAAATCTATACCGTTAAATGCCCAAATATCCACCCAATACGAAGGGTCTTCCGCCCACAATCCAATATTTCTGGATCTGGGGCGAAGACAGAGATATGAAGGCACCTTCACGAGGAGGTTCACTGACTGGGAGCGTTTCCGAACAGTAATGCAAGGAAACATGGCGCTCCCAGTCATCGAAACCACCCATGATCTGGAGGCGGCAATCCTCTCCCTTGAGACTGACATTAAAAACGCCCTGACTCAGACTACGACGGAGACTATTGTCCCCCGACTGACAAACCCCCGGGGCACCCTCCCCGATGACATAAAAAACTTAATACGTGACAGACGACGTGCGAAACGGCTTGCCACCCGCACCCGCCTCCCCCGACACAGACATGACTTAAACGTACTTAACAGACGGGTGAAGGCGGCTCTGGATGAACTGGCCCAGGATAACTGGGCTAGGCACCTGGAGTCGCTGGATCCACAAGACAACAGCCTCTGGAAAACGCAGAGGGCCCTGCGACAGACCGCTCGCCGTAAAATTCCTCCAATCCACGGTAGTGTGGGGGTGGTTTACACGAACCAGGAAAAGGCCGAGGCTTTCGCCGATAGCCTGGAACTGCAGTGTAGACTGCCTCAGCTGCCCGA